CAAAATCTCTCCGGACAAAAGCACCCCCTCCATCTAAAAATGACAAGAGCCAGATGTGCAGGTTGGTCTGGCTCTATATTGTCGGCAAAGGCTGATACGCAGGTTGTTAACACGGGCTTTAAGCAATTTGGTCTAAAGCACAGAGGATAAGAACCCGGTATATGGATAAAAAAAATCATGCCAAGCATGGGGGATCACTCAATCTCCGTATGAAATGGAACATATATATAGTCTCCATCATCGTGTATCCAAACTTTTAGAATGGGGTAAATTTAAGCAATCTTTCTAAACCTACATCTTAACATTAACGCAACTACCTAAGTTATGATCTAAGACGATTATTGCAACTGCATTGCTCTACTATTTGTCGTCTTGCGTCAAATTCAATATGACTTTTGTATTTCCTGTGTATAGAATGCGCAAGATCATACAACAGAAACGTTAACAAATAAAGAAGAGAGAACAGCCTACTCAAGATCAGGTTCAATGGAAATACTGACAAAGTCCTTTTCGCCGGCAACGTATTGTAATCAATGGTACAAAATGACCCGAAAATGTAACAAAACACTCAGAACACAATATCACAATACCTCTTTTATTGCCCACCTCTTACCTTACAAGCGAGTTATTATTAAAATACTACAGACTGACCGAAATGGTACAAATAAACTTACGATAAATACTTCTTAAATGGCGAGGTTAGTAAAGGTCACAGAAAGTCATAAATTTTTCGAAAAACATACTTAAACCCAATTTTTCACGAGACTGGTTGACATATAGTTTTGCGCTCTGAAATATGTTTAGTCGTATGTTTTTTACGACATGTTGTAAAAGATCTTGTTATAGAAAATGATTTTCTAAAAATAGTAATCATCTTAATGTTTTATGGACTTTGGTTATATATCTTCGTATACCAAATACTGATTTAAATACGGATCATGTCTAGTTTTATGGTCCATTACTCCTTGTCTATCATGATTTATTTCATATGTCACGCACTATCTCTTACAAAGTTATATTCATTCACGTTTTGGATGAAAACTTTTAACACAGATATAAAAGACCTGAAATAACCTACATTTAACCGGGAATACTACAAAATATGAATATAGAAGAATCCTTGTTTAAAAGCCACTCCAAAATATTGGCCGAGCAATATTACATCTCGTGCAGATCCCGAAAAGATCAAAATCCGCAAACGATCATTTGTATTATGTTCTAAATATGAGTAATAAAAGGACATTTTATATTTTGTTGATTCATCGGATTTTGATGCAAATTTTTAAAGGATGAGCTTCAGCTGTCATCTGTTATCTTTATATAGAAAATTTAACTCCAGAAATTTAACATAAAATGAGCCGCGTCACGACAAAACCAACATAGTGCGTTTGCGACCAACATGGATCCAGACCATCCGCGCAGTCTGATCAACATCAGGACCCATGCTGTTCGCTATCAGTTTTTCTACTTGTAATAGGGTTTGTAAGCGAACAGCAAGGATCCTGATCAGACTGCGCGGATGCGCAGGCTGGTCTTGATCCATGCTGGTCGCAAACCCATTATGTTGGTTTTGTCGTGAAGCGGTTCAAATGTTATGAAAAAAGATATACGCGATCAATGTATTATATTTTTATCAGCACAAATTCACGTGCAATGTATTGCAGGCGGTAGTCTAAGCTTAATGAGCCAGCTTTCGCTTTCGAGTACGGACCCCGAACATGTAACCAGTCAAGACTCTTAAAGAGAAATTTTGAAGCACAAAGTGGTGATAATTTACTTCCATGCAATTTCCACGGGAGTGTATTATAAAAGTTATATAATATCTTTTTAGGAGGGAGGGCAAACTTACAAACTCACAGTAATGGCGTCAATACCCTGAGGCCCGACAATGATTCGACGAAGTCTGTTTTTTTCTCGTTGTTTTTTTTTAAAAAATTTATAGGCATAAAAAATATCTTGTATGGTGATTTCAGAGAAGTCACCGTGACATCTTTTTGACATTTATATTTATCTTAACCTTCGTAACAGTGTCATAAAACGCTAGCAACGTCTACAACCGCAGCCGAATAAAATTATTAATTGAATAAGTTACCCAAGTACGATTACGTTTAAATTTGACCAGCATTGCACTGTGTTTTCATAAAAGCCATTCAAGATGTTTTTAACGATAATCAATTTAAGCGGGCTTTTAGACATACATCTCCGTGTATAATACCGCAAATATTAGTGACGCAATAGTCAATAACCGATTTATAACGTTATAAAGAATTAGGTAATAAGTGTTATATCTTTTATTCTCAGGAATTTCTTCTATTGTTAACGATTTATCGTAGTTTGTAACATATTTAAATATCTGTTATTTGAAAAAAATCAAGTATGCTGGTGGAGCGAATAGCCACAATAGCCGAATACTTGTTTTAATCGAGCGTTTGACTAATTTAGAAATACCCACCTGTGCTAATTCTATTTTCTATTGATAAAACACAATTATATTATGTTATTTTAGGATTAAAGGTTAACTTCTTTCAACAGGAATATAGTTATAAACTATAATCATAACGTAAACAACAAAACATATTGAATGGTCATAACAAAGTTAAACCACGGATTTATATGTAATGTAAATCCGTGGTTAAACCAAACTTTAAACAGACACGTTATAATAATAAGTACTTGTTTGGTCGGGGCTCCAAAGTGAGGCCATCTGCAGGTTTAATGGTTAGTCATCCCAGAGACATAGATGTTATCAATGTTTCTGTGTTATCTATGTCTCTGGTCATCCGTGTTGTCGGAAGACCATACTTTGTTAAGGTAACCCCTTCACTAGGTAATCAAGGAAGTACAGATGAGATAGTGCCTACGAAAAATCGTTGTAAAGCACAGGGTGGGATGAGGTTTTTGTTGTTGTTGTGGTGTTGGAATTGTTGTTGTTGTGGTGGTGGTGGTGGAGTGTGTAGGGGGAGGAGGGTGTAAACTACATGTATTATATAAGCCCTATTCATATCCATATTTTGAGTTTTCTGTAATTCTATCATCAATTTTAACATTATTTTAAATGGTCATTAAGCTTCAAAAATGCTATTTCTTACTTCTTTTTTTTTTCATTTTTGGCATCCAAAATACGCATTATCCATATAGCTGAACAATATTTTGCTTTTTGTCAACTAATAACAACAATAAAACCCTATCTTCAAAGAATGATTCAATTCTAAAGTTATATCTGGATTTCGAATTTAATAGTTAGAGCCCTAAGTTTAAAAAATATCACATCTGTTGATTCGATTTTGCCTTTATTTATCAAGTAATTGAAAAAATTAATTAGAACATTTTTGAGTGTCATGGTGAAAACATAAAGAAAACCCTTTATTAATTAAACAACATCTTGAATACGGATATATTAATTGGAATCTGCGTTAAAAATACCAATGCTAAAGAATCAGTTCAAAGATGCGCGCTAAACTTAGTAAAAAAGGAAGGGACTTAAAACATGAAACTCTTGAAATAGTAAAGTTACCAACTCTATTATACAGAATGTTGACAAATTTAGAGCGACATGACTGAGGTTTTCATAAAGAAGTTATTGAATTAGATTATTAAGCGTTTTTGACGAGGACATGAGTCTATTAAAACTGAAAGCAAACTCATGAGAAAAAATGATAAGAAAGGTCGTCTGGTTATGTTAAACTGGAAAAGTAAACTAGAAGTAGTTGTGAAAGCTCCACCCCGAACACATTTGACAAGTTGATGGCAGCACAATTAAATTTGCGAAGTAAATGTTCTCGTGCCATCGTAACTATCACGGGAAACATAAATTTACGCAGAGCACCCATGGCGCGCGCCACTTCCAGCTGTCAAACCAGGAACATTTACCAGTTTATTTAGTTTTCAGCCCGTTGAAAGTCTAACAGTTGTAAATAACAATGGGAATAGTCCTATCTAGATTTCGGGTAAACTATTTTTAATAAATCTCAAGTCAATAGGATGTATGACCGAAATAGATATAAGTGTATGGGTAGTCGGATGATAACGCAGATTAATAAGGAGATAAGTTTAAGATCACAATTCGCATGATCACGTTAGCATTCACACACGTTTTCCCTCTGAAATGGAATGGGCTTCACCCCATTGCTTTTCATCTGAATATTTACATGACATGATGACCTAAAGTTACAAAAAAAAAAAGAAATTTAAAATTCAAATAAATAAGTATCTACGACTATATAAACTTCAACATATCCTTGCAGTGTTCAATCAAGACTGCACCTATGGCCCTCTAACTTACAAACAGCCACAATTTATAAACTATATCTATTTATATATTTTAATCATTTATTTAAGAAAGGGTTTGAAAAAACAGGATCCTTTTTTGGTGGTTTCGTTTAGTAATCTTACTGTCAGACAGATCTTTAAAAGTTAATGACCGCACTTTCCGCAGTTAGGTATGTCACAGTTAGAAAAAATGCTAAACATTTAAATGGCAAAGTAATAACCATGGACAATGTTTAACCGACCATACTAATAAAATCATTAGATTTTCAACATTAACTTTGTTTCTTTATGACAAGATATGACATTTTGTTCATATTTTGTTGTACTCAAAATGATTACAATACATATCCAATGACAATGTTACTATTTTCAGCCAGGGTCGTACAGTATTCGATCAGATCGAGAAAAAAAACATTGTTTAGGACAACTAAAATTCAAACAATTGTCATATCTTGTTATGAAAAAGAATAGTAATATTTAAAAACAATTTAAAACTTTTTCGCCATTTTGTCAAATATTAACCTCGGTTACCGGTTATTCAATTTTCTAGCTAAAAACCGACCATACCCATTTAAATGGATAAACATGACACCCCTAACGGCAGGTCATATGTGGACAACCGGAACCCAAGTCGATGTTTTGGGGTTTGTATAAAACAGGCATTATATTAATCATTGATCCATGGGAGCATAAATGGAATGTGCTTGTCAGTCAGTGGTTTATATAGTGAGTGTTTTAGACATGCCCAAATGTCAGCTTAGTTTCTTTCGTGTAATGTAACAGTGTTCCTCTTAAGCTACTTTGGGAATGGTGCCGGTACCGGACAGATTGGGAAAAAAATCCATCGGTTTGACTCAAATTGGGAATTTTATATAACATGCAAAATATTCTTTGGGAATTTCTTTTATCCAGGGAGACATGAAAATTATGCATAATAAACACTTTAAAACCATGTATAATGGTGACGTAAAACCCCCAAAAAAACAAATAAACCATGTTTTATTAACTTTATGCTTCTTGAGGTTGAAAAAGAAAAAGATAATCATAACAATTGTACATAAATAATGTAAAGGTGTGAAACACTAAAAGTACGAAATTAACTAGGTACGAATATCACTCATGTGGTTATACTTGGTTTTTATCGCATATCACTTATCAATGGCATTTCTGTTTTTGTTTACCTTTAAATTTGCCGATTTTTGAGGAAATTTTCAGTGTTATTTTGGGAATTTATCAGTCATGAATTTGGAAATTTGTTGTCTATTTTCTATTGGGAACGGTGCCGTTTACCGGTATCACTTATATAAGGGGAAAAAAACACTGTGTAAATGGTAAATTCTTCGTGGAAATTCAATCAAATATTCAAATGAATATACAATACATGTAGCATGACTACAATATCAGTATTAAAATTTGACATTTTATTTACAGAATCAATTCCAAAGTTTTTAATCCTATTTCATGGCATGTGGGTCTCTTGGGTTCCCTTTCAGACAAAGCTAGATTGAACACTGCTTTTGACATCATTGGTACTTAAATAAATGTTAAACTTACTACCTGTCAGCCATTTTACATATAATTTATACATAGATATTTGCAGCCGTTATTTTTACTGGAAATACGACTGATAAGAATACTAAATAGCCTGTCCTCTGCTAGTTTGGAAACTCTATCAGTGAATTATATAAGGAAACAAAGCCATGCAAGAACTTGTAGTTACAGCATTATATTTAAATGATTTGTTAACATATACTTTACAAAATTGAAATACATGAGTGGAAAAAATATTCACAGTCATTGAGGATACAATCTGGGTACACAAACAAAAGGGATCAATATAAAAGTTGTTCCATCTTTAGACCTTATAAATACAGTAATTTTAAGTTTCATCATTTGGTAAAAGCTCTGCCTTCTGAACAATCTTTTGCTGGCTATTTCTCTCAAACCTTGATAAATAAAATTGCTTAAGATTGCTTTAAAATCTCTTAGGAGTGCAGTTTAGCTGGCTACCTGAAAAATTATGGAGAATACTGACTATATTATAGAGCTGTCATCAATATTGATGTTGATATCATTTTGTCGATCAATGCACATTTAAAAAAAAATCGTTAATTTTAACTCATTAATTAGTTTATAATTAATTTATGTTTAGAAAATGTGGCAATTCACCAAGCAGGTGACTCCATGTATAAAACTATGCTGTTATTAGCAGTGATGAGAAAATAACAAATGAATCCCAGAATAACCGAAAGTTAAAAAAAAGTGTCAGATATTCGGTCTGATAAACCATGAAAATCTGTCAGACCGAAACAAAATTTGTCAGACCAAATAAAATTAACAAAATCAAAGGAAAACTTGTATTTCTAAGACACTTTTTGGTTTTAATTTTTCGCTGTAAAAATCGACTCGGTCCGTACAGTGCATTTTCATCTCCTCCCTGTAATACACCAACAATTCTCCGTCCTGCTTCCATTTTTCATTAAATTTTGTCTCAGGTCTATTCTTTTCTTCCTTTTACTGCTGTTCTGCGCTCTCCTCTGACATAGATTTTCGCTTATTCCCAGGTTTGGCATCTTTTGCGACACCATTTTGCATACATGCAACTTTGATAAAAGTCAGATCATTCCGGAATAAAAAATTGTCGGACCTAATCAATATTTATCAGACATGTCCATCGGACCAACGTATTTGGGAAGTCTGGGATCCATTGGCATGGATACACAAGACACTTCATAATTGTATGAACGGAATAAACTCACTGGCTTATTCAAACTTTACAGTCTGCTTCTTTAAACCTTTACCAAGCCCATGCTAGATTTATATATTTAATGGATTTGTCCATCTTTTTATTTGCACAAAACCATTTATCATATTTGGGGAAAATTTCAAAATAAAGTACTGTCTTAATAGTGAACAGTACAGACCATGATCAGACTGCCTGGAATGTGATGGCTGATCTTGGTCTGTACTGGTTGCACAAGAAGATTCATATGCCTCCAGGTTAAAATTTGAATCACTCTGATTAGTTTATTGCTTGTTTCTCACAAAGTTTCAGTAACTACAATAAAACTCATGGAAAGCAATGCTTCGTAACCAACTGTATGACAAGATGTCAAGTATTTTCACAATATCTGCAGTCCTAGCATTAAAGGGAAGAGGGGGGGGGGGGGGGGGGGGGGGGGCTTAGCAACACTTAATTGATTGCATGGAACTAGTTAAAATTTTGAAATATTTTAATGCATAACAGTTAAAATTTCCATGCCAAGAGAGCTAAAATATTCCTCTCAGATTTATGAGAATTTTGTATTTAATTTTTAAAAAAATGCATTTTCAGAAGAACTTGAGGCTAGCAAATTGCTTCATATCCTTTAGCATACTGTGTATATGCTTAAGATGGAAAACTTAAGCAAGATTAATGGATGAAGCTAACAGTATTTTCTTTCATAATTTTTAGAAAAAGAAATCTACAATAGAAATCTTGGAGCAAGTTGACCAGGTAATTATTATTTTCTTAACTAATGATCAGTTTAATAATGTGATTTCCAAACTTGTGTTTTGAAAATTTTACACAGAACTGTCAGTCTCTGAGTAGAAAGTATAACATTTACTGGTATGTGCTATGAGAACTGTTCTTCAGCTTCATGAAATAATGAGTTACACTTAACTTACTATTTTCACTTGCACATACTGTTAATTTTTCATGAAAAGATTTTGACTTTGTCCTGAACACCGACTCTGGCAAGTGCAGAGAGATAATTAAATAATAGATTTCATACTATCTTCATCAGATGTTTATATTGTCTTTACCATGCCACTTTTGCGACTCCGTAAAAACGGTATTGCACGTTTGTGCATATATTTTGATGTCATTTGCATTATAGAGATGTTGGTAATGTGATAAAAAAGTAGAATATTAAATTCATGTAGGTTCAATACTAAATTTGTTGAATGAGTCTGACTAGGCTTTGTACTTTTTGTAGCTCAATTAATATGTAATTTGTGCAATATCAAAATCCTTACATTGACTGTTGAATTCAAACAGGACAAGCAAAATATTTAAACAAATTCAGGGTTCACATTTCTATCAATTGATGCTAACATAATAACATGACTGTATAAATGTATTATATATTTCAGGACATAAAAAGACTTGAACAGTTTAAAAGAAAGAATCAAGAGCGTCAGAAGTGGTTTATCGCAAAACTTCTTCTTTATTCTATTCTGCTGTATGTTGTATCGGCTTTAGTTTTCTACTTTTACTACTTCCCAGAAAAATGGAAGGACAGGCTGCTGTATTCTATACCATTACTGTTGTTTCCAGTAGTGTAAGTATTAAAGTGTATAATAAATTATAGATATATATTGCAGTGCCAAAACACCATTTTTGGGGAAGGGGCAGTAGCCTTTTTCTTGGGGAAAATATACATGTATGTCATTTTGGCATACTTTGGAAAAAGGGGTCTCAAATTACAGTAAAAACTCTGAAAACCAGACCCTCTGAAAACCGGAATCCTCTGAAAACCGGACCATTTTAAAAGTCCCGTATTTTCTCCATATATGTTCATTGAAAGAAATCCTCCGAATATCGGAACCTCTGAATTCCGAAAACCGGACGATTTTCTATGGCTTCTTATACTAAACATGCATAAAAAATTCTCTGAAAACCGGACACCAATTTCAAGTGTAAACTTTCTGTGTATTTTAATGTAGAGTAAAACATAATCTCAACTGTTCAGTTACCAATTAATGATCACCTTTTTAATCTATGCAGGTGTGAAAACACTTGTCAATGTGTGTTAATTTCTCAATGGCAATTAAATTAAAGCTCTTTCATCATAATTTTGTCTTTCCATGTATAGGAATAATTCTTCAAAATGTTTTTTTTTTAAATATAAAATGTCTCAAACTAAAAAGAATTGGGAAACTTTTGTTAAATGATTCCTGTTTTGCTGAAAATTTTGACCTTGAAGTTATGATTGTTTGGATATTAATTATATGCTAAAATAGTAATACTAAATTCCATCGATTACATATTTCAAAAGTCAATTGAAAAGATATATTTCAGACAATGTGTTGTTTTAATTTCTGATTTTCAGAATTATATTCATGCTTTTGCATAATAAAATTACTTAAGACATTTATTACAAAAAGAGATTAACATATGACTTGGACAAAAGGGTTGAAAAGTAAATACAAAATGATTGAACAAAGTCATTGTTCAAACACATCATAATTATCAATAAATATATTAAACCTCTGAAAACCGGAATCCTCTGAAAACCGGACTTTTGGTCAAGTCCGGAAAGGGTCCGGTTTTCAGAGTTTTTACTGTAAACACAAACTTTTAACAAGTTCTTCATAATAGAAAAGCAAAAAGCACTGGGAAATACTTATAAGGCAGTAAAAAACCTTAATTCAACACCACCATTTAATTTTGTTCTAAATTCTATGGGAAATTTCAAAAGACTGGGGAATTTAGAGGACCAAACTTGGAAAAAAAAAGGCTAGTTTGCTTGGGGAAGCAGCCTATATTCAGCCTCTACAAAGAAGAATTTTTTGGCCCTGTATTGGATGCCTGAAGTAAACAAAAAGTAATTGTTTGAATTTTGAAAAAAGAATAATCCCCAAATAACAAACTATGTTAAGTTTAATTATTATTTTTGTACAATATCCATGTGTATTTAATGATGGAGATATTCTATGTTACAACCCTTTCAAGAATCTATCACTTATCATGAAAGAACATAATCTTATAATCATTTATAAATTAAAAAAAAAAAAACTGTTGCATTAGATATAGTTTTATACCCTTAAAAGCTGTTTCTTTTTGAGTGATACTTGCAAATTGTTTTCAAGCATTCAGTAACTTAGTCATAGCAGTGATATTGATTTCGTTAAATCAATATGATGCTGTACTGACACATTAATATTATGTGTAATTGGGTAAAATGTACATGAAAATTTTAAACAGAAGCTGTGTCAAAGTTGTTAAGATGTCTGAAGCTCAAGCCCAAAATATGGGTTTGAACCATATTCAAGTTACCTTAAATGATTTCTGTACAGGCAGTGATTTTTCTCACTTAATTGGGAAGAGGCCTTAGCCTCTTGATTTTGGGAAAAATTATCGCTAAAATTGCTGATTTGGGAAGTAAGAAAGCTGAGTTAAGTTCAGGTTTTTGGGAAAACTGCATGATTTTAAAGAAAATTTCAATTGGGAAGAGGCCTTTTTTCGGAGTCTGTTATATAACTAAGAAAATCACTGACAGGTTACCATTAGTTCCAGGATGTGGATTCAAGAGTGATTAATATAAAATGCAAGAAATTTTTCTTCACAGTCGAGATTAAATATTAAAAATCAGAGACATAGATTATGTTTTCTACATCTCTGGTAATATTGCAGTAAAAATGCACACTAAATCTCATTATCTATGACTATAATTTGTGAAAGTTAGATTGACTCCAAGCTATTTATATTTTTGTATTTTGAATTGGTCAATAATGTTTTAAGTTACTTGAAGACTTGTTTGATGAATATTACCTTACTTGATCTTTAATTATGATTTTACAGTGCCCTATTGTTACATACTGTGCCATACTGTTATCATACTGTGCTCCCATATTGTTCCATACTGTGCCAAACTCATCATACTGTGCTTTTCAATACTGTTATCATACTGTGTACCCATACTGTGCCAAACTCACCATACTGTGCTGTTACTGTGTTACTTGCTCATTTAGCTTGATTATTCACAGACAATAGCAGCTATGCTACTCACCGGGGCATGTGTGTAGGTAAAACACTTTTGTGCAATTAAATGTAAAACTTCAATGCCAACAACTGAAGACATTTGCCTGTAACTACACACATTATTCTAAGATCATTGCAGGAGGTCAATGTCCAAAACTCTATCAGGACTTTGACATAGTTATGGCCCTTTGTGAACATTCTTATTAATATTTTTTTTCATGCAACAGAAATATTCAAAACTGCTGTAGGTATTTTCTCTTGACACTTAATACAAATGTACATGTCTTTTTAATCATAAGAAGTGGTCATTTTCCAAGGCCCAAATTAGACATGGATTTCTTCTAAATTATGGCCTTATAATTATGAACTTGGTCAAAGTCTTTGTCTGTTTTACTTGAATTGAAACAAAACTGCACAGGACATTATATCACATTCAAGTAAATGTAAGGTCCTTTCTTTGAATGGCCTCATCTTGTCTTGAGTTATGGCACTAGGGAGGTGTTAAACAGTCATTATTTTTTCAGCATGATTATGGTTTCATGGGTTATTTTTTATCATATTTCAAGTAAATTTATACAGAACATTGACTATTACAGATTTTTGTTCCTTTCTCAATCAGTCAATATTTAGCTCTTCTCTGGACTGGAGTTAAGGGTCCTGCAGGACTGAAATATGTTTTCCTGTGTATACTATTGTAGGCTGTTAATTTTTTTTTTTATATCTAATGTGATTTTAATCAAACTTCTTTTCTTCATCATTTCTTTTCCCAAACCAGTCTGTTAGTTTTTTAAGTCATATTCCACAATGATTTTCATGAGTTGTGCCTTTACCAGGATAGTGAGATAGATCTTAATAAATATATGACCTTTATTTGTTTATATAATTGTTACCTTCAAATCTATATGCTTTTGACAAATTTGTTTTGTTAAATCATTCTTACCTTTTGTTCATAAAAAGGTTTCTTTTGCAATTTCAAAATGCTAATGCATTACCATAATTATCTCCCGCCGATGGAATCGGGAGGGGGATATAGTTTTGGCGTTGTCCTTCCGTCCGTCCGTCTGTCCGTCCGTCCGTCCATCCGTCCGTCCGTCCGAATTTCGTTTCCGGAGTAGTTCTCTGCAACTAATGGCTGGAATTCAACGAAACTTTATGGGAATGTTGATCAGCATGTGAAGTTGTGCACCTGGGTATTTTCGTCTGGATATTTTTAGTATTTTTAGAGTTATTGCCCTTGACTCAGTAAAATTTTGTCCGAATTTCGTTTCCGGAGTAGTTCTCTGCAACTAATGGCTGGAATTCAACGAAACTTTATGGGAATGTTGATCAGCATGTGAAGTTGTGCACCTGGGTATTTTCGTCTGGATATTTTTAGTATTTTTAGAGTTATTGCCCTTGACTCAGTAAAATTTTGTCCGAATTTCGTTTCCGGAGTAGTTCTCTGCAACTAATGGCTGGAATTCAACGAAACTTTATGGGAATGTTGATCAGCATGTGAAGTTATGCACCTGGGTATTTTCGTCTGGATATTTTTAGTATTTTTAGAGTTATTGCCCTTGACTTAGTAAAATTTTGTAAATTTCAACTTGTGTCGCATGTAACTCAAAAAGTAATTGACCTAGAGTCATGAAACTTTACAGGAATGTTGATCAGTATGTGTAGTTGTGCACCTGGGTATTTTCGTCTGGATATTTTTAGTATTTTTAGAGTTATTGCCCTTGACTCAGTAAAATTTTGTAATTTTCAACTTGTGTCGCATGTAACTCAAAAAGTATTTGACCTAGAGTCATGAAACTTTACAGGAATGTTGATCAGTATGTGTAGTTGTGCACCTGTGTATTTTCATCAGGATATTTTTAGTATTTTTAGAGTTATTGCCCTTGACTCAGTAAAATTTTGTCCGAATATCGTTTCCGGAGTAGTTCTCTGCAACTAATGGCTGGAATTCAACGAAACTTTATGGGAATGTTGATCAGCATGTGCAGTTGTGCACCTGGGTATTTTCGTCTGGATATTTTTAGTATTTTTAGAGTTATTGCCCTTGACTCAGTAAAATTTTGTAATTTTCAACTTGTGTTGCATGTAACTCAAAAAGTATTTTACCTAGAGTCATGAAACTTTACAGGAATGTTGATCAGTATGTGTAGTTGTGCACCTGGGTATTTTCGCCTGGATATTTTTAGTATTTTTAGAGTTATTGCCCTTGACTTAGTAAAATTTTGTAATTTTCAATCACAATCATCAGTCACACGGGGCCAGAAAAGGAGTTTCATAAATGCAAAATTAAAAAATCTTGTCTGACAGTACAAGGCCTAGAGCTTTGACAGTACAAGGCCTAGAGCTTTGATATTTGGTATATGATATAACATATAGGTCCTCTGCCAAAATTGTTCAATTTTTAGCCCTGGGGTCAAAATTGGCCCCACTCCAGGGGGTCATAGATTTTCCTTATATGTATATAGTGAAAACTTAAAAACTCTTCTTGTTTGAAGGTACAAGGCTTCAAGTTCAAAGAATTTTACAGTTTATGCCATGATTAATATACATTTGTATAAATAAAGCCTTATGTCTTCAGTTGTTGTGTTAATAATAACCAGTACTCGGCGGGGGATATAAATTCAACGAATTTGCTTGTTTAAACATGGTTTAACATTTATAGATTTATATAGTTTGTAAATCATCAGTCCATTGTTTTTTTTTAATTTAAATGCCCACACTACACTCTTATCAACAGAGTGGTGATCCATATTGGTTGAAATGCTGTTCAATTTCAGCCTGTAGATTATAATGTCCCCCTTGACCGACCAAATTGCATGTTTGATTGGCACATCTGTTACCTCAGATAAAAATAAAAACCCTGTTGTGGTCAATCTTCTACAGCTGGTAAAGCAGGAAAGTTACATTTTGAGTGTCACTTGAAACCATTCAAATAAACAAATAAAAGAAGGCTCCAGTACAATTTTTTTATTTTATTTACTACTGTGTATATATTTCATGAATGACAGATAGGTAGAGGAGTCGAAATGAATAAAACATTTTCCTAATATGCTTGCAATTTTCATTGATTGATATATTCTTTTGAAATATATATGGTGGGAAAATTTTGTTTCAAGTATTCCCATAAATGCATACACTTGATCTAAATATAGAATGATATTTAATAAAGAATGCACTGCTAGCAGATATTCAACAGGTTTGTCAATATAATAAATGTCACTATATTCCTAACAATGTATCTGAAGTGTTGTCATTTTGTTTTATTAGTTTGGTATAGAAGTAGTACAGGTTATTTGATACTTAAAAACTTCTACAATTTCAAAATAGAGGTCATATCTTTGAATGAATTCGAAATCCAGTCAGTTATGTGTTACTTTCAAAATATTTATAATGCTATTTGGCAGTGTTCATTGTTTCAAAAACTGATTGAGACTTTAGAATTTATCTAAATTTTTAATGGTAAGTCAGGTCCTTTATGTCAGACTCCACTTTTAAATATCCAATCAATTTACATCGTATGAATTGACCCTAAGACACGTCCTTGTAGCTTGTCTAAGTAGAAGAAGGGTCTTTGTTATTATTATTGTTGCTATGCAAGTATTTTTAATAAAGAAATCAAAATGAAAATTTGAAAGATTGCTTATCTTGGCAAGGAGCATAATTCTGAAATCTATATTTTTAGAGTTATGCCCCTTTTTAACTTAGAATTTTTGTCAAAATTGGTTATTGATAGCCGTTCATGTTGCCCTTAACAGACAAGTTTTATTGGTATGACTTACCAGATGCATTAGGATAAGCATGAATGTCCCCCTATTTTCATTAATATTCACTGTTGATCATACACTTTGTTAACCAGGTTTTCCGAAGGAAAAAACTGGTTATTAACCAGGTTTTCCGAAGGAAAAAACTGGTTATTAGATTGAGGTATGTCGGCGGGCGGGCGGGCGGATGGGCGGGCGTAAACAATTTCTTCTGTGCGCAACTCCTCCTACATTTCTCAACGGTTTTTGACCAAACTTTCACAGAAGCTTTGTCATCAAGTGCCCTGGCGCATATTGTCGGGGTTTTGCGATTAGATAATATTTGACCTAATTATGGCCCTTTGTTTTTTTTCCTTATATAGAATATATAGTGAACAATTTCTTCTGTGCGCAACTCCTCCTACATTTCTCAACGGATTTTGACCAAACTTTCTTAGAAGCTTTGTTATCAAGTGCCTGGCACATATTGTCGGGGTTTTGTGATTGGATAATATATGACCGAATTATGGCCCTTTGTATATTTTTTCCTTATACAGAATATATAGAGAACAATTTCTTCTGTGCTCAACTCCTCCTACATTTCACAACGGATTTTGACCAAACTTTCTTAGAAGCTTTGTTTTCAAGTGCCTGGCACATATTGTCGGGGTTTTGTGATTGGATAATATTTGACTGAATTATGGCCCTTTGTATATTTTTTCCTTATACAGAATATATAGTGAACAATTTCTACAGTGCGCAACTTCTCCTACATTTCTCAATGGATTTTGACCAAACTTTCACAGAAGCTTTGTCCTCAAGTGCCCTGGCGCTCACTAAATTCCCATGTTTCTTCCAAGACATCATTCAAGTATTTTTTTAAAATTGTGAACATACTTTTCTTGATATCGCACAAAACACCACACGCCAATATTGTTGACAAAAGAAAATGACAAGAGACGCAAAAATGCAAAAATTAAGCAAAAATAAAGTACTGTTTACCTTTCTAAAACATTTGGGGAAAAAAAGGCGAATAGACAACATAAAATTTCTCAATCATTTTTGTTTGAGGAATATTAAAAAAGCCATAATTCCTCCTAAAAGTTCAATTAAAAACAAATGCCCCTTCATGACAAAGCTTCTGTGAAATATTTTGCTGAAAACCTGGTTGCATCGCATTGCGATGTTCCTTGTTTAAATATAAATTCATGTATCCCTGTAAAATATACCAAAAGAATTATTTCATGTTTTTGTTTTTTTTTGTTTTTTTGGGCGTCCAAGGCCAAGTGGTTAAGGTCGTTGACTTCAAACCACTTGCCCCTCACCGCTGTGGGTTCGAATCCCGACAGGGACTTTGGATTCTTTCATGTGAGGAAGCTATCCAGCTAGCTTACGGAACGTAGGTGGTTCTACTCAGGTGCCTGTTCGTGCCTGAAAAAATGCACGGAGAGGCACCTGAGGTCTTCCTCAACCAGTAAAAGCTGGAATGTCGCCAAATGACCTATACTGTGTCGGTGTGACGTAAAACCCAAATCAAAGAAACAAATCATGTTGTTTTTTTTATCTCAGAAACAACATAGTGTGTGATCATACTCTCTGTTATCTATAATTATATTTCTTTTTCAGGATATGGTGTGTAAAGAAAGTTTTACATTGGTACTTTATAAAAAGAATTGCTAAAAATGGTAAGAAAAGTTTTATATTTATTGAAATCATTTCTACCTGAACAGAAAAAGCTTATTCAGTTTTCCATTTATTATTCTCCAAATAACGGAATTTACTTTACCTAAAGTTTAATTCTTTACACAAATGAAGAAGATAATTGTTTGAAGATGTGCAGCTTTAAACATTATAATTTATAGATTATCTTACATACTGTTATACCAAACAACACAGAGACATCCTTAAACAAGGAGACTAAAACAAGATCTTTTTTTGATTGTTTGGAAAACTTATGTATTCTTTTTAATGAAAATAAAGCAACTCTATTTCCAGATCATGTTTTGTATTTTTGTAGATCTCGCTTTGGAAGAGCTCAGGGAAAAGAAGAAGCAAATAGTAAGTAAATGATAAATTTTTGTGTTATGTAATTAGGGTTATCCAGCATTTCAGATGCAGTTAAGTTGATTCTACATAGATTTCCAGGTATCCCAGTTAAATGTTAAAAACCGAATCTTGTATTGAATAGGTTGATAGAAATAATTTAAATCCTGATCATTTTAGTGTGGAGATATTTTGTTATGGTTAAGAGGTGTCAACATTAAGGGTTTAGGGATGGATAATCAGGGGAAATTCACCTCTTATGTAAATTTATAACATTAATTATTATTACATAAAATGTATTGGCACCATTTCTCTTACTGAAGTGACTGGAAAGTACATTTGAAATATCAAACAAATACATTTAAAAGAATTTGAAATATTCAATGTTTTCACTTGTTTAAAGGTCAGAAATTCTGTACATTTCTGATTTTCCTGTAATTTACATACTATATTTATTTTGATTTGTAAATATGATTTAAAGGTCAGCTTATTTTTATTGAAAGTTGATGTGTAAATATTTTGGCAAAAATAAAATAACAGTACAAAACGTATCTGTAAGGGGAGGTAATGTCTTGGTCAAGTTCGATGTATAGTATCTACATAGTTGTCTACCTGCTTTGGAGACTTGCCTTGTTATCAACCTTATCATATATCTTATCATATACTTCCTTTAAATCTGTTGAATGATTATCAGTGTAAGCAGATTTTCTAAGATCTTTCAGATCAGTATAAATGCTAGATCAGTTTGAATAATGATAAGTTATCTAATTAATATTTATCAAAAAGGATTAGAATTAAGGGGTTTTTAGGCTTAAGTAAACTTTTCCCTTTTTGATTTTGTTTTTCCCTTTAAAAATTCATTTAATTTTAAAGGGGGAGATTATGAAAAAAATGTTTTTTGCCCAGAAATAAATTAGAATAGTAATATATTGGGTTCTTTTGGGGCCCCCTTTTTAGTCATTTGAAATAAAAATTTAAAATTTTCCAATTTGTAGGGAAAGAAGTCTCATTATTCCTCATTTTTAATTATAAATTTGTATTTTTATTTCAACCCCGTTTGGTGTCACATTTAAAAGGTTCCATAAAACCCGCTTTTTTTAACACTTCTTTCGGCATTTTTACTTAATTTAAAAATTTTAAAAATTTTTTAAATTTTAAAAAATATTATTTTTCTAATTAAGTAGATGTTTAAAAGGGTTGCGGATGGTTATTTGAAAATTTCCAATATTGTCCAAGAACAGGTTTTAAATCAACCGGGGCTTGAAACATTTTAAATTTTTTGGGGTCCTTTGGGGTTTTTTTTTTTTCCTTTTCCCAAAGTTTTTAAGGGTTTAAACCCTTTACTTTATTTTCATTTGTTCCTCTCTTATTATGGGGATTTTTTTAATTGTTTAATGTGCAATGTCTTTTCCGGAAATTAATTAAAGGGTTTTGAGGGTTTTTTACTCCAAATTGATTAAATAGTAAATTAATTGCACCTTGGGTTTCCTTTTTTCCCATTAACTGAAATGCCATAAAAATGCCCTTAGACAAAATGGTATGATTTAAAACCAAACAATATTAATGTATGATTACCTCATTTATGTCTAGTTGGAAGATGTGATGGAGACAGAGACATACAAGAAAGCAAGGGAAATCTTGGAAAAGTTTGATCCTGCCAGGTTTAAAGAATTAGAGGTAAGTCGCATGACTGCTAGGTTAAAAGACCTAGATTTAGGTCTCATGACTGCCAGGTTTAAAGAACTAGATTTAGGTTTCATGACTGCCAGGTTTAAAGAACTAGGTTTAGGTTTCATGACTGCCAGGTTTAAAGAACTAGATTTAGATTTCATGACTGCCAGGTTTAAAGAACTAGATTTAGGTTTCATGACTGCCAGGTTTAAAGAACTAGATTTAAGTTTCATGACTGCCAGATATAAAGAACTAGATTTAGGTCTCATGACTGCCAGGTTTAAAGAACTAGATTTAGGTTTCATGACTGCCAGGTTTAAAGAACTAGATTTAGGTTTCATGACTGCCAGGTTTAAAGAACTAGATTTAGGTTTCATGACTGCCAGGCTTAAAGAACTAGATTTAGGTTTTCTAGACTGCCAGGCTTAAAGAACTAGATTTAGGTTTCATGACTGCCAGGTTTAAAGAACTAGATTTAGGTTTCATGACTGCCAGGTTTAAAGAACTAGATTTAGGTTTCATGACTGCCAGGTTTAAAAAACTAGATTTAGGTTTCATGACTGCCAGATATAAAGAATAAGAGGTAGATCTCATGACTGCCAAGTTTATACAGCTGGAGATATGTCTCATAAGAATTTGATGTAAGTCTCATGGATACCAGGTTTAAGTATTAGAAGTAGGTCTCATGACTGCCAGGTTTAAAAATTAGAAGTAGGTCTCATGACTGCCAGGTTTAAAAATTAGAAGTAGGTCTCATGACTGCCAGATTTAAAAATTAGAAGTAGGTCTCATGACTGCCAGATTTAAAAATTAGAAGTAGGTCTCATGACTGCCAGGTTTAAAAATTAGAAGTAGGTCTCATGACTGCCAGGTTTAAAAATTAGAAAGTAGGTCTCATGACTGCCAGGTTTAAAAATTAGAAGTAGGTCTCATGACTGCCAGGTTTAAAAATTAGAAGTAGGTCTCATGACTGCCAGGTTTATAAATTAGAAGTAGGTCTCATGACTGCCAGATTTAATTAGAAGTAGGTCTCATGACTGCCAGATTTAAAAATTAGAAGTAGGTCTCATGACTGCCAGGTTTAAAAAATTAGAAGTAGGTCTCATGACTGCCAGGTTTAAAAATTAGAAGTAGGTCTCATGACTGCCAGATTTAAAAATTAGAAGTAGGTCTCATGACTGCCAGGTTTAAAAATTAGAAGTAGGTCTCATGACTGCCAGGTTTAAAAATTAGAAGTAGGTCTCATGACTGCCAGGTTTAAAAATTAGAAGTAGGTCTCATGACTGCCAGGTTTAAAAATTAGAAGTAGGTCTCATGACTGCCAGGTTTAAAAATTAGAAGTAGGTCTCATGACTGCCAGGTTTATAAATTAGAAGTAGGTCTCATGACTGCCAGATTTAATTAGAAGTAGGTCTCATGACTGCCCAGATTTAAAAATTAGAAGTAGGTCTCATGACTGCCAGGTTTAAAAATTAGAAGTAGGTCTCATGACTGCCAGGTTTAAAAATTAGAAGTAGGTCTCATGACTGCCAGGTTTAAAAAGTCAGCAAGGTCTTTACTGACAGTATAATCTGAGATGATTCTCATAACAAAACTGTGGTAAATCTCATAACTGTCTGGTTTAAAGAATCTGTAGGTGTCATGATTACCAGGACAGTTTTGTCAGGTTTAAAGAATTACTTAATGTTATAATTGCTGCTTATCTCATATTAAATTATTGTCTGTAGAAAGCCACTATAGCTAGTTTGACTTGCTCTTTGAGCTGCACAAATTTGTGACTTTATATTTACATCAGTATGATCACTGATAACTGTTACTTTTGTAAAAATGAAAAAGTTTGAGCCTTTATGGCATTTTTGACTCAACCGAATTATAAGTTTAGACGACAACTTTCAAACTGAATTTTATGTTTTGTTTTTATATAGGCTCCAAAAGAAACACCAGCAAAGCCTACACCTGGTACAGGTTGGTAAAAAAGCTTTGTCATCTTAATTAAGTACAACAAACTGTTTGATGACATCTCATAATTTATTTTAGGAAAACATTTCTTAATATAATGAGACTACTTTATAAAGGAAATATTTGAAAAGCTGTTTTAATCAGCATTTAGTAGTATAGTAATTATGTTGGAAATATGTGTGATATATTTAACTTTATAACACAAGATATAAATCTGTTTTCTACAGAGTTAAGGCAAAGACAATTTGCTCAGCGTACATCACCAGGTTCTCAGCCTAGACCAGGTGTAACACCTGGTTACCCAGGTATGACACCTATGAGGCCACAGCAAGGACCGGGGTCAAATATCAGGCCTGGAATGACACCATATGGTCCAAGAGGAAGTGCTCAAGGCATCCAGCCAAGAAATTTGATGAATTCTCCCCAGATAAATGGTAGTGAATATTTGAATGTCTTTATTTTTAAATACATCATGCTTTACTTATTTTTAAAACCACACTATGCATACTTTGTTTGTGATGAGTTCTTTATGACTGATTTTATGTAACTATCTAATGACAAGGACACAGGAAAGGTCATGATTTATGCAGCCATATTTTTGAAGGAAGGGCCCTGTTGCCACTCTGTACAATATATTTTTGTTGAAGTTTGTTATGAAGTGCAACTTTGGCATTCAGAACCAATTTACATTAGATACTTCTCTTTGTGTAAGAATTCAAATGTGATCTGCTACTTTTCTTTTCATAGGGTAAACATGACTCTTGCCATTGTCATGTCATGCTCGAGATATCTTTTTACTTGTTTTTCAGGTGGAACCTCACAAGGTCCACCCCTACCGCGACCAGTGTTACCACGGGAGAGAGGGACCATGGACAGGTTATTGGAATACCTGGTGGGTGATGGCCCACAGAATAGATATGCTTTAATATGTGTCAACTGCTCCTCTCATAATGGTATGGCAATGAAGGAGGAATTTGAGTACATAAGTAAGTATATTAAGTCTATTTATTTAAGATCAGACACATGATCTGGATGTAATATTGTCCCTTACATAGCATTTAGCAATTGTGTGTGTTTAATTTTACTTACTGTTAAACCATTACTTGATCTAGGATGAGATTGTCTCACATATGTACTTTACACCTGGTACTTTATAGGAGAATTGCTGCAAAATTAAAATAACAGTTTTACAAAAAAAACACCCCCAAAAAAACAATATTTCTAAACCCATGATTTCAGAATTTAAATATTGATGAATACAGGCTGTGAAACACTGATTATGTCTTCTGTTTAATCTGTAAAGAATCAAACTACCGTTACAAAATGATAATAGACACAAACAGGCGAATTTATTAACAAATTGATACAAGTTAGACACAATTTTGGGGTCTATTCATCAATCTGAAACAAATTTTCTTTTGTTCAGGTCATCATATTTACTTGTAAATGCCATTGATTGTAGCTATTCTTTCTTTATTGAATTCATTTAATTGATTTTATGACAAAATATACCTTTAAGTATAGAATTTGTCTGTAAAATTCATTTGAAATATCATGTAAAAGTAAAATGTATGTTTGAAGAAAGAAAAATAAAGTAAATATAAGGTTGAAGTTCTTAACCCTGTATGAAGCTATAATATAGCATAAACATAAAATTATAGTGAACAACATAGTAAGTGTAATTTAGCAAAAGTTTAAAAAATTTCCACTTCAGGCTTTGTATTATCCCAGACTTTGATTGAAACTTATAAAACTAGGAATTATTATATAAATTTTCACATCAATTTTCAGCGTTTCGCTGCTGTTACTGCTACAGTGTGAACCCAGCCAAGAAGAAGAGACCATATGCCCCTAGAATAGAACCACCAACACCAGCTCCAAAGGTCCAAGCCACATCTAGCAAAGGTATAGTACCAAATGACATTTAGTTTAAGTCATGTTGCATTCATTTTCAGCTTGACTGTTTCGAGCAAAAAGTCAAGCTATTTTGATGACTGCATTGTCGTTGTTGTCATACAAAACATTTTATGTGGACCATTATTCAATTTGAACTATCAAAATAGTTTCCTGTTAAATCTGAAAGTAATCAATGTCAATCAAATTGTAATCATGATTACTGACTGAATTTTAGCTGTAATTGATTAATTACAATTGAATTAATCAATTTTGGGCAAGGTAATCAATTACATGATGATTACAGTGTAATCATGTAATCGATTAAAAATCAATGATTACAATTAATGATAACCCCAGGTCTGGTCGGCGTCGGCGTAACCACTTATGTTAAAGTTTTTGTAATAGTTCAAATATTTTCAAAGTTCACTGACATATGGCTTTGAAACTTTGCACACTTGTTTACCATCATGACCCCAACCTGTAGACAGGAGGAGGTAACTCTATCAAGCATTTTGACAGAATTATGCCCCTTTTTCGACTTAGAATTTACGTTAAAGTTTTTGTAATAGTTCAAATATTTTCAAAGTCCATTGACATATGGCTTTGAAACTTTGCACACTTGTTTACCATCATGACCCCAACCTGTAGACAGGAGGAGGTAACTCTATCAAGCATTTTGACAGAATTATGCCCCTTTTTCGACTTAGAATTTACGTTAAAGTTTTTGTAATAGTTCAAATATTTTCAAAGTCCATTGACATATGGCTTTGAAACTTTGCACACTTGTTCACCATCATGACCCCAACCTGTAAACAGGAGGAGGTAACTCTATCAAGCATTTTGACAGAATTATGCCCCTTTTTCGACTTAGAATTTACGTTAAAGTTTTTGTAATAGTTCAAATATTTTCAAAGTCCATTGACATATGGCTTTGAAACTTTGCACACTTGTTCACCATCATGACCCCAACCTGTAAACAGGAGGAGGTAACTCTATCAAGCATTTTGACAGAATTATGCCCCTTTTTCGACTTAGAATTTACGTTAAAGTTTTTGTAATAGTTCAAATATTTTCAAAGTCCATTGACATAATTATGGCTTTGAAACTTTGCACACTTGTTCACCATCATGACCCCAACCTTTAAACAGGAGGAGGTAACTCTATCAAGCATTTTTTTTTACTATCAAGCACTAAGAATAGTTGAGCGTTGCTGTCCTACCGACAGCTCTTGTTTACTTTAAAATGTTTTGTCGAAGTTGGTTATTGACCTTGCCCTTAACAGATCAGTGTTAATGGTGTATTCAGTGCTCTGGTTTGTAATTATAGGCATAGAAATGAATTTGACTATCTTGGGGGGAGGGCTTTGGTTAACCATTGTGATGATGTGAACTTAAGCTGTTGGTTTATGATCCTTGAATTGTGTTTGAACATTTCCATGTGACTGCAAATTCGCTTTATGTCACTAATTTTCATGTTTTGAAAGATTCATATTCTATTTTAAAAGAGATATTTTTAAGCACTTTATGTATGTATGAGAGTCAGAAATTCCAGCTTGCTATTACACAAAAACTGTATTACAAGAGAAATATTTTTGATTCTCGATAGTTATTATTTAGATGTTGTAAATATTTAGATGTTGCACTTATTCTCTTTGAACATTGTACTTTGTTCTCTTTGAAAGTTTAACATTTATGAAAATGCAAGTTACCTCCCTTTGTCTAT